AATTGGTGCGCTTTTGAAGGAACCTAAATAAATTATTAAAAGGCCGGCAACGCACTCGCGAGCCCTCTGGCATTGAGAGTGTCCATGGGCGGCGGTATCACTTACCATCAGGTGAGCCTCCTGCCCGTTTGCCCACTGTTGTATAAATTGGTTCGGAAATACATCAGTGGGTAGCTGGTGCCACAAAGATACTATATATTATTATACCAAAGGCTAATTTTCATATAGTTAAGTAAGTTAATCAATAACTTAAAAGTCAATTGTATATGAAAACTGTCAGTCACATGTGAATACGAAATATAAGTATTAAAGCTATCTTAATTACTGTATATTTAATTCGAAAAGATCAAATTTTGTCCATCGGAGTGCGGGTGAAACCGGCCGATGTAAATCTATTTGTCATATTAATGTGGCCAATTAGACCGGCATGCGGGCAAGGGTTGACGCAAAAGAGGATAGGGTTACCAACTACAAAAAAATATTTTTTAACAAAAGGTCTTACATTACAAGTATTGCACGGGTTTTTTCGAAGAACGTTCGGTATAGTTTTACAAAAGATTATTGCTTTAAAAAATTGCAAATTTATAGAAAGAAAGTTTACTGCCTTATTAGTCTAGAAGTCTAGACTCTTGTTTTTGGTTTTTTTTCCCCAATTTCTTGGTTTTTGTTATTTTTGAGACCATGAGAAAATCCTAAAAATATTAGGCGACCCCTATAGTGTAGGGCGCTGTCATAAGTGTTAATATAATATTGTACTACTAAAATATTATTTATTTTATTTATTTACACTTGGTTACCTTATACAAAAACATACATATAAAAAAGCAGGTTGCATAAGTTATTTGGCAACGGGCGGCCTTATCGCTAACAAGCTTTTTTCCAGGCAACCCTAGTATGGAACAATAAAAAAGATATACCTACAGAGGGTAAACTAGAAGAAGTGCATAAATAATTAACAAAAAAATAACATGTAATACTAACTATAACTAAAATAAAGTAAGATCTAAAAAAATAATAATAATAACATAAACAAAAATGTAAAACCTAATCCAATGGTTAATGAGTCACAATTAATATATATAATATATATAAGTAGCTAAATTACGAGGCAGAAGATAAATGATGAAAAAAAAAGATTTTTGAATAAATTAAAAGACTGAGCTCGTCTGATATCAAGAGGTAAGGAGTTCCAAAGCAGGATACTTTGCATAGTAAAGGAATAGTCATAGAATTTAGTTTTATTAGTACGGGTTTCAAGGATTAGATCGACAATCAAATGTTTTAAATAAAAGTTTGCCCACATTACATCAAACAAATGTTATTCACAAGATTCATAAAAATTGATTCATAGCACATGTTATTTAGTGATTTAAGTATCGTGTCACAACCCTATCGACCGGTTCGTTACACTTTACAATTGGTGAACACTTGCAGTGTTTAATTGTCGCCTTTAATTCAATCTCGCCGTTAAACTGTTTAGTTAACTAAATATTCATTAAATAAAGTCTATAATTTTCGACTCTTTATTAAATTGCGATATTGCCTGCATGCCACTTACTCGATACAAAATATAATTTATTCATGTACGTAACTTAAGATATATGAACGTCACTAATAAATTGTTCTAAATTTACATTTACTGCCAGTTCTCAAAGGCCGAAGAACGGACGATAAGAACTGCCATAGTTAATTTAAAATGTTTGTAATCAAACGTTACACTATGCTTCTCATCACATTTGAGAAGTGTTCGAACCCCGGCTGTGCACCAATGGGCTTTCTTGCTATGTGCGCATTTTACATTCGAACGGTGAAGGAAAACATCTTGAGGAAAGCGGCTTGCCTTAGACCCAAAAAGTCGACGGCGTGTGTCAGGCACAGGAGGCTGATCACCTACTTGCCTATCAGATTGACAAGTACAGAACAGCTCTCGAAGAGCCGAACCGGCGTTAAAGCTCGGCTCTGTACGTCATGCTCAACTTTTTTTATGTCATCTCGAAAAAAATTATAATAATGAACATTAAATACATAGGAAAACTGAATGTTTCACTTCTATGAGCAAGGGCCGGTGAAATATGGACATTCAAGGTGAATCATGAAGTACAAAGGATTGACAATTAAACCTATCACCTCTGAGTTATAACTGTGTAACTAAGCAGAGCAGTGCGATAGAATTTATGATCCATAATTCCATCAACAAAGCAATGAATTCTTTTGTATACTTAATAAAAATATTTGGGTCAGATGTATCTATTAAAGCTCTCAATTGAGGTGTCAATATCGTGGTGGTCCAATTCAATTTAAAGGGCAGAAGAATTAAATCTATGACGTATTAGTTTATTCAACAAGATTTATCTTTTGTAGGCAAGTGAACCAATTGATTATAGAAATATGCAATTAATTGAATTCTAAATTTCTCCTGTCAATAAATTAGATTTTTTAATTACCTCTTTTGTAAGGTTTTAAATGTAGAATTGAAAAAATATTGTAGCCTTTATTATTTTATCATTATAGAAATTGAATTATATTTTTTTAGCTAAAACATATTTGTTTCTTTGTACGAATTTACGCTGTGATGAAAGACATCAGTCCTTTATTAATATCATATTTAATATAGATTTTAAAAAAATATTCAGTATACGTAATATATATTCTACCATTTCTAAAAGTTTTGGCGCTATGTCAATTGTCATAGATTTTTTTCATTATAGATTTGTTAGTGTGCGTCTCTCATTCCTGAGTTTGTAGGTTTGATTCCCAAATGTGCACCAATAAATTTTCTATTTTTGCACTTAACACTAGCTCATACAGTAAAGCAAAACAACATGAGGAAACCGGCATGCTTGATACCGGCTGGGTTGAATGTGAAGTCTCCAATACGCATTGGGCTAGCGTGGTGACTACGGACCATTCCCTCTCGCCTAAGAGAGGAGGCCTATGGCCATTAGTGAGACATATACAACGTGTAATTGAGTACGTATCTCGAAGTCTTTTTAAATTAAACTGAGTACAACGTGACGATTAATATTAATAGGGCCCCATCAAAAAAAAGAAGATTTGCCACGGGCCCCAGATGGTACAGTTACGCCACGTAAATATTGATCTGCATTTTTTTAAATATTGACATTAATAAGTTACCAATATGAATAAATGAATTTTGTTATATCATAACAAAGTATTTTCATTTACTAACAAGAAAATTATACAAACAATAAGTATACCGTTTCAATAAGGATCAAGTTTCTTTATCAAACTCAATTACAGACAACTTACTTCGTCCGAAGATTGTTGTAATATAATTTTCATCTTAATTACCAATAATAAGTTAGGGTTAATTTTGTTCCACTTAACTTCGAAGTTGAGATCGCTAATAGTTTAACAAATTACTATTAATTATGAATAATAAATTACCTATATGTATTAATATAATGATGTGATGTAGGGAGCACAGAATCGAATGGAAACTATATCTCTAAATTGTAGGCACTATTTGTTCACAGTGTCGAGCGGGTAAAATGATGATATTTTCATCAGCTAGGATGAGACACTCCCTTGCATTTCAGTTATGTAAGCATACGAAAAGTTATGACAGCACAGCTAAGGACTAATAATACTTTGCTGTATTCTAGTCAAGTCAAAATATCTTTATTCATATAGGTAAACTAGTGGACCCCACAGACGTTGTCCTGCAATAACTTTGTATTAAGCAAATAGGTAAATACCGACTGCAGTCATCACTGATTTGAATCTAAACCATTCCCAGTCCAAGACACAAAAATTTTAAAATCGGTCCATCTTTAAAAATCTAATGCCAAGAAGAATGCCATGCTATAAAAGAAACAGATAATTAAAAAGGTAGGCCGATGAAATCATGGAAATGGCTGGAAAAACTAAGACCTGGATGAGATTGGTATACCATAAGGAAAAATGGGGGCCAATTGGGCCTTTGCCCGTAGGCATAGCATCGGTTATCGTAGATTAAGAAAAACAATAACTATAATGTATATATTTTGTATTTCTGATATACGGCTATAAAAAATAAATAAAATGCTAAGAAGAAAAGTATGTTTTTGCTATTAAATTGCTTAATAATCATGTATATAGTTAAATAAAGCCGCAATATTCCACAGAATATGAAAGCAAAACGTAGAATTCGTTGACCGGATCTCGAGGTCCGAGATTATGACGCTTGCTTAACACATAGGTGTGAGGAATCCCTTGTTAGGGATGTTTCTTTGAACTCTTATTATTGTTTATAGAATATAATAAGTCAAAATCAGTCTAGCGATATAAAAAATCGTTTCATTTTCGAAGTGTCTAAAAGAGAATTATAAAGAAAATTTCCGCTAGAAATATAGTATTCAATAATTGAGTTAATGAATATCAGGGGGCTTAGTCAAGATGCCTTAACAGTAGTGTATGTAGAAAGTCGAAAACTAAATTTGTATTAAATTGTCAATTCGTGTCGATGTGGTCACGCAGGCTCTTTTCATTTTAATATAGGCGCCTATGAATATCTGTCAACTTATAACCCGAAAGTTATACTGAATATTCTTATATTTATCTATTTATAATTTTTTGCATGGTCAAATGTTTAACTTTAAAGACAAGTATTAATTTATTGATTTGTTACCATCAGAAACTTATTACTAAACTAAGTACATACAATATACTGCTACAAAAGAGACTGTATGTTAACACACAACATACATATTCCTATAATCATAATTTGAGTATCTTTAATCTTTGATGAAGTTATTTGAAGCTGGGCTGCAAATAAACGAATTGATGTGGTTTTAGGAGATTAATTCGGCTGGGTTATACAGGTCACATTCAATTTAAGTCAAATCCAAGACTAGGTCAGTACCCTGTGCTGTGCTTATAGTAAAGAAATGTTGAACTAAATTTTACACCGGAAAAGTTCATGTAAACAAACACCGTAAAATTGCTATAACTCTTTGCAATTACTTACTATAGAATATAGCTGTATATAATATAAGAACTTACTGGTCAAAGGGGGAAAAGATGTGATGCGGTGGTCTGTGCTCGGGCGGCGCTTCCCTTGATCCAGCGCTACCTACTGACGGTGCTGGTGAAGGACTTGCTTCTGATCTGTATTAATTTAATTAATTCAATTCAATTTATTATTTCTTTAGTTGTAGTTTGTGTTTGTGTAGTGTTGGCCTAGTGGCTTCAGCGTGCACCAATGGACTGTCTTTCTATGTGCGCATTTAACATTTGCTCGAACGTTGAGGGAAAACATCGCTAGGAAACCGACATGTCTTAGACCCAAAAAGTCGACGGTGTGTGTCAGGCACTGGAGGCTGATCACCTACTTGCCTACTAGATTTAAAAATGATCATGAAACAGATTCAGAAATCTGAGGCCAAGACTTAAAGAGATTGTAGCGCCACTAATTTATTTACTTTTTTATTTTTTAGTTGTAGTTTTATTGTTTTTCCCCTTATACCGTATAATTCAATGATTAAAGTCTGAAGATAAATGGTTTTTAATCATAATCCGATACCGATATATCGGCATACTTTGGGTTTGCGATATATCGGCATCGGCAATATTTTCATTGCCGATTCACCATACTTTTCAAATTTCACCGCATTTTTTTGATCTAGTTTGTTGCAAACGAGCCACGGACTATTGTTGCCCGAGAAAATCCCCCATTTTATCAGTTTGTTGTCTCTATCATTCGCTTGGGGAAACATTATTATTTATGTATATATGTATTTATTTCCTAAAACTATTTATTTATTAACATTTTTCATTACAATATAAAAATTGAAATAATTAAATAAAAGGAGGCAAAAATACATATAACATATAAACTAAAAAAGTCTACATAAAAATAAAAAGTCACATGAATCACGATAATTTACATATTATATTAGTATTATACGAAAAACTCTTGTGGATGATTATAACAAAATTTTTACTCAGTAACTATCTTTGCCACATAGTTATTAGATATTATAGTTGGAGATCATTGAGACTTTATTGAAGTAGATTTGAAGATCATTTAGTTGGCTTACTGCTATCGCGAGTTGTATTTTTTCGATACCAAATTTAATAAAATACATAACAACAATGTTATCATTGTTAATTTTAATTATTAACAGTTATTTATTTTATTTTAATTAAATTATTACTTTTAAATTAAATTATTATTCTTAATTTTAGTAACAAAACCTTTAAAATAATTCAAAGTTTGTTTTTATTTTTTTTTTTTTTTTTTTTTTTTTTTTTTTTTTAAAATTTTATTTTGTTATGTTTATTAAAAAAATTAACCTTATTTTAGATTTTAATCCCTAGTTTTTATTCATTTCAATCAATTATAGTAAAATCTGTTTGAAACTTCTGAGAAACAATTCGTTATGGATAAGTTATGGGTTTAAAGTATGTCATAGACAAAAGGTATTTGTTAATTGAATTAGAAAATTGAAAATAAAAAAAACTATTTTATTTATAAAATTCTTATAATAAAAATAAATTACCCGTTTATCGTTGAGTTAAATCAATTTATTTTGAGCTTAACTGAGATACTGAATCGGAATCTCACCTTTCTAAACGTGGGGACCTATTAGGTGAGCGGCGCGGTGAACGGAGCGGCGAGCGACGCGGAGATCCAGGAGAGACCGGAGGTGAGGCGCGGGGGGAACCTGCACCTGACATAGGCGACACTTCTCCTGACCCTCTAGACATACCGCACTCCGATGATCCCTGAAGATATATGTTTTACTAATATATAAGGGATAAAATATTGCTTATATTTATATGTTTTATCACTTCCTACATAATGTCCTATAGTCGACATCACAACCCCAACCTCACAAATTATAAATTCAAAGGGAACCTCATATCTTCGAACCTTAGGGACTCCTTTTAATATATATTTTAGTTTATGTTAAGTTTAGTTATTTATTTCAATGTAGGTATATTATTTTATTATTAGTTTAATAATAATTATGTTTAATATTTCATTTATATATATATTATATGTGTTAATTAAAATGTCTATGTTATAATAATAGATAATTCTATAATACATACATGAAAGTGAAGGAAAGTCAACAAACAGTACTTTTAGCTAAACTTTTAATGCTACAATCTACATAGCCAGTTAAAATATGGACTTTATTTATAGAGAATAATGTTTTGAAGACATTTACCTTATCATCATTAGGATCCCTTTTCGCCATAACATCAACTCCTTCTCGCTTCCTCTGTTCTTCCTTTAATCGCTCTGCTTTCCGCCACTTCGCACGACGGTTTTGAAACCATACCTTTAAGAATAAGAATACTTTGTTTAAGTTTTCTGTATGGACCACTATTGTCTATTGGAAGTTGTTGAAGTATTTGTTTGTTGGTGATTATTTCACCAATAAGAAGCTATATCATATGACCAAATGGTATCTTTTAAACGATCTCGAACTTTCGAACAAAAAACGCCTTTGTCTTAGGGGAAATTTGCAAAATGGTTTCTTCGTAATGTTACGAACAAAATCGTACATACAAGTTGATAGATATATCGGAATCGGACAGGCGTATGATAGATGCCCTAAATAGGATATATAACGCCCGATGAGCTTGTTTTCCATTAAAATCCCATTAGGCCTAAATACACCAACTACATTTGGCCAATATCTCAAAACCTATAAACGTAATCCTCTCTAACGATCCTGTCAACACTACAAGTCGTTAATAATGCATTGCAACCCTATTTTGCCGTATTATAACTCAAAAGATTATACACCATTCCATAAGGGACCTTACGGCTTACCCCATCCAATTTTACGTGACCTTTCCTCACATAATCCGATAATGTGAGACTAGGTATTTATAAAGTGGTTGTTTTAACAGTGCCCATTTGTAATGAGCTCTGTTTACATGTAGGATATAGGCTAAGCGGGTTCAATGTGTCTGGTGGATACGCTGGTTTGCTAAATGCGGCGAGGCGGGCCACATTTGCGCTGCAATTTTCGCAATTTACTTTTAATAAGCCCTCTGTTACTCTATTAGGTTAGAGTGCTAGGAAATCTTCAAAGATTAAGGAAATTGTTGTAGATATGATGTAATTGTTTAAAAGAATTTTAAGGAATTTAAGAAAAATTTTATGTTTTTAGAGATACAAGTCGGTTGGAGATATCACCGTTTGAATTGTTAATTCGAGTTTTTATAAAATTATATCTGTATAAATTTGATGGAACTATATTTTCTCAGAAAAGAGTACGTTTGCAATAAAAATTATGGTAATTAATTTTTTTTTCAGTTTCTTACAGAATATCAATTGTTTATTTCAGTCATAAGTACGGAAAAGCCATTCATTATCAGTTTAGTAATTTTTTTTTATTAAAATTAAATGTTTTATAAATAAATTAATTACAAATGCCCTATCTCTTGATAGTTAATCTTTGGCCTAGAATAAGAGTCCCTTAACGGCAGTAAGCTAATTTACTTAAAATAATAATCCCACCATAATCCGACGTCCGCCCTAGTAATTTTTATGTTTCGAGGGTAGAATTAATATTAGCTACCCTTGCTATTACAGTCAAATTTTTACAACATAATTTGACACGAAAGTAGATAGTTATGTCGTTTTTTGATTACATTTTTCCTTAACGTAATATTAATGCAATATTTAGATTATCTTATTGTATATTGCGAAAACATTTTTAAACAATTTAAGGATACGTTTTTCTAAATTGGAAAAGCATTGAAAATCTAGAACATATATAACTTAACTATAATAATATCCTTTAAAGTACAGAAGCGTAATTTAAGTTGGATTTTTCTTCAAACATAGAATATTTTTTAAAATTCTACTTGTATCAAAAGACCACTTAAATCTGACAAATACCTACCTCCACAACACATGTCACAACACAGCCCTGTCGCATTTGATTCCCATCAACCAACGTAACATGTACCCTTCGACCCTACAACCCACCACTTAAAGCACGTAAACGCAGGGGGCTAACGAAGCATTGGGTGTCTTTCTAAACTGGACGTATTAAGTAAACGGCACTCAATCAAATATCAATCTAATTGTCTGAGTGTTACAGTTGAAACTTGTACACAACAGGGGTACGCAAGGGTGCAGTAATTACCTACTTCTACTGTTCGGTAAAAGTTGATTGTTTGCGTTTGTTAGTAGTGTTAAATAATAACAAATATTGTTCAGTGGAGGACCAATTGAAACGGTTAATTGCATCTTTTGTGATGCACAATAGATCGTGAAATAATGATCTTTTGTGCGATACAATGTTTGGAGAGCTATCGTTTTAGTTGAGAGCAATGTTAGGGATTTATTGAAAATTTATTTTATAGATAGCTAAACCCTGGAAACACATTTCATATATATTTGCCCACTGCTAGGACTAACCTAGACAAGACTAGTCAACCAATTACAAAACAAACAAAATGTTTATTATTTATTAGTGGCTATAATCGTTAATTAATGTTTTCATTTTGTAAATATTCTTGTTTTTCCTAATCAATTTATTTGCTATATTGCGTATGTGATTTTTTTATTGAATGTGCGTTGCTGTTGATTTAGGGTCTATAAAAAAAGATTGCTTTTGTAAGTTGTGTTTTTGTAAATAAATAAATTTCTAAATGGACGCAATTTATTTGCTCAGAAATCAAAAGAAGGTTCTATTGTTTATTATCGAACTCGGGAATACTAACGAAAATAAAAAATTAAATACACATTAACATGGCTTAAATTGCCACCCTTCATATACCTTAAGAAATGTTTAATAACGACACTTTCGCCCTTTAAAACATACATTAAACGGTACCATTAAAAACAATTTACCGGTAATTCAGTTGAAGCGTGTTCGCAAAGTCGCGAACACATTAGCGAAAACGTCTCGGAGTTAATTATGTAATGTTTAAAAACTCATACGAGCTTTGAAAGTTAGTATAAGCTTTGTGCACACTGCTTATTTTTGTACTAAATATATTTTGTTTTTCTTATATGTACAACATACAACAATGATTTAAAATGCTGATAATAACTGTGATACTGACTGCAATTATGACCTTCTGACATAGACAAAATTTCTGGAGAGTTGATGACCGTCAAAGACAGGAGGAAATCTTAAATATTTGTGTTTGTATATAAAATCCAAAAAACATATTGTACACATAAGCAATGATTAAAAATAAATAGAAAGTAAAAAATATTGCTTTCGAATAATTTAATGGGAGATGGTATATACATACATTTCCGAGTGTTTTACTTTCTATCTAACTAACGAACTGCCGCGCATGGGCACTTGCGACGCTGGGTGTGTTGCCGACCTTTGGGAAAATGGTAAAAAGTCTTTTTCTTGTTTGTCTTTTTTTCACGGTTTGGGAGTACTAACTTTTTTATTTTTCTCTTAATTATTTGATCAACATTGCAACCCGCAATACACCTTTACAATTTATTTGACGGCACATTACAAGTGGTGGTTTTATTTAATATAAAATATTACAACGCTTTTATAATATTTCTATAAGAAAACATCGCGTGATAATATTACGAAGGAGACACGTAAGTGACAACTCAAGCGAGTGATGTATTAAAACCAACGGTTGTCGCTTCGACGGGTTAAATGCGACGTATGGTTGACGCGATGTGACGTGAAACGTTAATGACGTATTAATGTAATTTTCTTCTTTAATAGAAATAAGTTAGGGTTAGGTTAGATCCATCATCTACACAATGGTTGTGAAAGATTTTGAATTTGGAACTTAAAAAAAATACCTGTAAACAGCGAACATAAGTCTGTTCCATATTTGAAAATGTAACGATTTTACTGTAAATGAATGTTATATTTGTGACAGTGTTGCTTAATTTTGTTATTAGCTATGTTATTTTGAAACAAGTTTTCTATACTAAAAAGGATTTAATGCAAGCTATTCGCGAATTAAGCGAAGATGTTACTCTATCTACGCAAGTGCTACGTGATACGCGCCGTAGCTGCTTCGAAGCGCCTTCTTTAGGAGGTAGACTTGAGTAGTTCCTACAATACTATTAATACAGTGTTATCTAAATTAAAAAAAATACTAGTTGAGCATGACGTACAGACTCTCTACATTGAGAGCCAACAACGTATATGGCGAGATGACGTTGAGGCATTTGCTACCGCGGGTAATAAATGGACTACCCAGTCAATTATTAGATAGCTTTACGTTAGTAACATAAAAAGTAAGTTGAAAAACAAATAAGCATTCTAGTCCATTGAAAAGTTACATTTGGGGTTGCGTTTTTTAGAGGACGCAATTTTATTTATGGAACATGTAGGGGGGGGGTCAATACAAGCTTAACTCCAAGTTTGTGGGGTTGGCGTGCTTGTCCCCCGGCCGCCATCTTGGATAAAGGGGTCCAAAAACCACGTTTTTGGCTATATCTCCTAAACTATCCATCGTACATAAAACTTGTAAAGACACATTTTGTAGCAAATCGCTGTGTCTACGATTATGTCTATGTAACTTTTTATCATAAATCCAAAATTCAAAAAGTTATAAATAAAAAAGTGATAGCTAGAGCTACCATTCTAATAACTGATTGATAATATAATTATGTCGAAGATTACCATATCACCAAGTTGTCTGTGGAATAGGCCTACTAGGAATACCAATAAGTAAAATTTTAGGAATAAAAAAATAATTTATTTGGAAAATTTGTTTAAAATAAACGAGAGATCTTAAAAGTAAGGTAAAACTGCTGTTTTGATCGGCTTGTCATGAGCTTTGACGCACCTAGTCACTTAACAACTTTAGAAATAGGAAATATTTTCACTTATAACTTTTTGAATTTTGGATTTATGATAAAAAGTTACATATACATAATTGTAGGCACAGCAATTTGCTACAAAATGTATCTTTACAAGTTTTATATACGATGGATAGTTTAGGAGATATAGCCAAAAACGTGTTTTTTGGACCCCTTTTTCCAAGATGGCGGCCGGGGGACAAGCACGCCAACCCCACAAACTTGAGGTTAAGCTTGTATTGACCCCCCCTACAGGTCCCATAAATAAAATTGCGTCCTCTAACAAATGTTCAGTTTGGCCCTCAAATTGTAACATTTCAATGGACTATTCGTCGCGTTTCGAAATAAGACTGCTATAGTTACATTTATACAAACCACAGCGGTTTTCTAATGTAGTATATTATGTTTGTCTCAAACTCAAAATAACTTTATTCATATAGGTAAACAAGTAAAAAATGATTATCAATTTACATTTACTACCAGTTCGCAAGTCAAGGGCGTAGAGCGGGCAAGAAGAAA